AGAGAGAGAGCACGCAAGAGAGAGAGAGAGAGAGAGAGAGAGAGAGAGGCTGCTGATAGGACATGATGGATGAAATGGAGAGAAGTGCTGATGTATAAGAAAAAAACAAACAGGAAGGGAAGCACACCCATGCAGCTATAGATGCAAGTTCATTGTCTTTGTTATAATGTTGCTAAACAACAGCATGTTCATTTAACTGTATAATAAATGCAAGGTCTCACCATGCCTAAGTGGTGTCTTGCATTGTTGCTGCAAATATCTTTCTGTATGTCAGAAACAAAGTGGTACAAAGCAATAGTCATGACATACACTCACAGTAACTGACACGCAGGTATTTAGCAAAGCGGTAATCAGTTAGTGCGACGATGTGGGAAAAGTTTAGGATTAGGTGTGCAAGTTGAATGAGTTCCTTTATTTTGCCTGAAAGAAAGCCAAGACTTGAGTTGCCTTTTGAATACACACTGAACAAACTATTGTTTATAGTTCAAATAGATTGAGGTTTAATCTCAGGGTTATAGAGATTGCAGCCTTTCCAGAGGCTGATTTCAAAGCAAGTAAACCATTGCACTGCAACTAGGCATTAGGCAGACAGTTATTTATAAAGGGAGATCAATTATATTCCCCTATGTATGTGTGAGAGGGCACATCAGCTTTGTATGGAAAGAAGTAGCATTTTATTTGTTTAAAAAAAAATTGGCACTAGTTTAAACCTCGCCCATCCTCTTCTTAAATGACTTTAGTTCATCACTTCGGTCCACATGAATCACTTTAAGAGGTAATCTTTAAGTTAATTATCTGACAATCTGATTTCATTTAAACAATTTTTCTTTTATACTGCCCACTTGGACACCTGATCTGAGACTGCAGAAGGCAGAATATGTTAAGTTTTCCTGTCTGAATACATCTCCTATTCCACATTGACACGAATTAAAAACAGATTCAAACAACTTTTATCATTGTCTTCCCTTCCATCCTCACTCTCCTCTTTTTCTGTCTCGGTGGTGTGTCCCCTGAGTCTTTTTTTAGACAAGGAATGCAGTGTGAATAATTCATCACCAAAATAATGATTGAAACCAAGGAGCAGTACAGAGCGATTTACTTAATGAGTACCTTTGGTTTGGATGGTGCAAAATAACAATAGATCTTGGCCGGGTGACTGATGAGCGCTCTGCTTTCAAATGGGAAAACTACATTTAAAAGATAATGTGCAAATATGACGTTTACTGGGTGTTTTCCAATTTAAGTGTTATCAAAACGAAAGCCTGGATCAGATGGGTTGTTGCACAGACACATATAGCATTTCCCCATCCCCCTCGTGATAACAGTGTGACATACCATGGCCTATATTCCATATTTTCTACATTATCTCCTCTGTGATTAGTTGTTATCCTATGTTTTCAGCCATACGATAGTAGTAAAGAACAGTATAGATCTTTACAAAAAGCTTGTACTGAATGAGTATGTGGCCCTTAGCCTTGACCCACTCAATACTAAACCGATTATGTACGTCAAAAAGATTTCCTTATGTGTGCGGGTGAATTTCTGAGGAAAGCCATTTGCTGTGTTGTTGGCATACAGACTGCATTTTTCCAACTACTGATCTCTCAACAAGCATTATCTCACTGTGGTCTGTTGACTTGGGGATAAAGGGCTGTCTCTGAAAAGTGTTTGTCAGTGTTTGAGAGCAGAATGGCTGACCCTGACACGTCATGACAGTATGCCATTTGTGGCATTTGGCACAACTCACAGTCACAAGGGCACTACACCACACCACGTTGCTTTCCCGTGGGCTGTAGGGAAACATGTTTTGAAACACTGTCTAATTCCTTGTTATGAGTCTTACTATGGGGCATAATGGCTCAGAGTGAAAAAGATTTTGAGAACGCCCATGGAGACGATTTTTGAAGATTTGCTGGATGTTGTCAGGGTGTCTCTGAAGTGTTAAAATAAAGCTGTGCTAGATTATACAAATAAATGACATGAACTGAAATGACAGGTATGCTGCCAGATGAACAGCTTGGCCAGTGACATGTGTAATCCATGTCCAAAAGGCAATGGCTCATTAATGGAATTAAACATGGCTTGTCCAGTGGTTATCAGATTAAAAATAACTCTTCCAAAAATAATTGCTGCAACCAGAGCTTCAACTTCTGTAGAGTTAGTACTTCCCCCTCATACATCAAATTATCCAAGTCAACTCATTGTTGTGAATCTCCTGAATACATTGTAATTCAGCGGTGGCCTTCCCTGTTGCAAATTAGAGGGTAAAGCTCCTCTTTTCTCTGGAGCAGTGGGAAAACAGTTCATACGAGCTTTGTGGTTTGGTTAATCCCTGACAAACTATGCTCTCTGCAGCGGCAGGGGTGTGTTGTGAGAAAAAAAGGGAACGCTTCAGTGTCGAGGAAGCGACTGAAAGCACTGCTGATTATTTTATGTTCACAGAGAGTGTGCAGGTTTCGTCCTTGACAAGACTGAATCCTTAGCGATAGTGCTCAGTCATAGCTGAACAGTAGCTTAATAGCTATGTAATGAACAAGCAGAGTGTTTATCCAGCAACTGCTTGGCCACTACATTTTTTTTTTTGCAGTGCAGAGTCCACTAGGATGAAGTATACACAAACACCAAACATAGCCCATCTTGTTACATAATCATCACCCACACAAGAATCAATTAAATAAAGAATTCAACGTAAAACTACGAATATTTATTTTATGCTTTTGGTTATCACCTGTTGATCACCCATAGAATGCAACCTAAATTAATCTCCTTTTCTAAGCCCCTGCTTTATAGATTATGCAGAAATAATGAATTAACTGCTGTGAGTTTAGGTTAATTTAGTTTTATACTTTGAACACGCAAGCATGAACACATCACACCTATTCTGGCTTCCCTCCACTGGCTTCCTGTCCATTTTAGAGTTCATTTTAAGGTTTGATTGTTTGTTTTTAAATCGCTCAATGGGCTGACCCCTCTGTACACCCCCTCAAGGGCTTTGAAGTCGGCTGATCAGCTGCTGCTAGTAGTCCCTAAAACCAAGAAAATGACCAGGAGGGACCGAGCCCTCTCAGGCTCTGGAACGACCTGCCCCCCCCATGTCAAATTGTCACCCACCCTTCAAACTTTTAAGTTCCGCCTGAAGAACCACCTCTTTTCCCTCGCTTTCGAGTCAGTTTGAGCTATGTTTTATCGATTTTTATGCTTTTATTGTCTGTCCATGGCCTTATCTATTCTTATGTGTGCCTTTTATCTATTATTTTAATATTGTATTTTATATTATAGTGTTATTTTTGCTGTGAAGCACTTCGGTAAACCCTCTGTTTTTAATATGTGCTATATAAATAAAGTGGATTGGATTGGATTATAGTAAAGTAGGATGAACAAAACTGCATTCGTAAAATGGCGGTTCTGGGTTTTTCTCAGGGCAGTCAAACAGCTAACTCTGTTATCCTGCTTTCAGAGACAGGTGTGCATATGAGCAGGAAATGACTGATGGGTCACAGTATCACTCACCACCAGTATATCAAACAGACTGCTTTGATTTGATTATGTCAACAAACAGTGGAGAGCTCACAGCAACACACAATATTGTAAGCTCTGAGAAAAAGAAAGTGTGCATCATTTAGAAAACCACAGCAAGGAAAAAGCCTTGATTGCTGCCCATGCTGACTTGTTCAGGTTCAGCGTGTTTTAATGGATCTGTTACCAGTGTGTCAGTATCTCTCTGTTGTACTAATGGATCTGTTTTCAAAGGTCACTTTTCTGTAATGGCTGCTTGTTGTGCTAATTAGGTCAGAATGATAATCAGATCGTCAACATTGATGCACAGGAAGCACAAAAGTAGCGCAGGTATCATCATCATGCTGCATGTTGCTCAATTAAGAGAACAAAATGCAGAACAGAGCAGCCTTCCTGTTCGTTTTCATGCCCACTTCTTGCAGGTGCTATCTCAAAGCCACAAACATTATCTCTGTGTCGGTTACTTTCTTCCCTCCCCAGGCCTCCCGTCCAGATGCTGGGCCCCGCAGCCCAGCCCCTCTGAACATGAACCACTATGCTAATAAGAAGAGTGCAGCGGAGAGCATGCTGGATGTGGCTCTACTGATGGCCAACGCATCCCAGCTAAAGGCTGTGATGGAGCAGGGACAAAACTTCTCCTTTTACACTCCCATCATCACTCTAATCAGCATCTCCCTGTGTCTGCAGGTCGCAGTCGGAGTCCTGCTCATCTTCACAGGTGAGAAAATAGTCCTTTTCTTTGTCTGGTAAACGTCACTCTCAACCCTTTGTGTGTCTCTTATTAAGATTCACCAATGTCAAGTCCGCGGAATCCTGACAAAGAACTAATTACCAGTTGGCCTAGCTGTAACCATGGAAACAAGGCCTGACACCAGGTCATAGTTTGCGAGGTTTTTAGTGCTGTCGTCAGCACACGTGGGAGTTGAAGGAGGGAGGTTACTTTGTTTCTCTATACGTCCGTGTAAACGTGTCAATACCTGTCACTGCTCATGTCTATGCAGTAAATAAACAACTAAATAGAAAAGAGCTTTCTATTCACTAATTTAGCAGCCACATCTGGTGTTGGAAAAAAATAGGTGCATTGAGATGGAAAGATGAGTAAAGATGAGACGCACATTGACTCATCTTAGCTCCAACCGGTGGAATAAATAAATGACTGTTTGTTAGTATCCTCTTCAAAAAGGAAATACAACAACTCTGATGGTACAACGTCATTTATCTCTATTTCTAATCTAAAATAAATATAATAAAATAAAATGTAATTAATAAAATGTAGGTGATTTCCCACTCTAATGCTTGGTTTATTTTCCTCAACTTGATTTCATATATATTTATAAAATAGAGATACTCATAATTTACCCCTTTGTAAATGTGCACCAAAAAAAAAGTCATCATAATCCATGCTAAAATAAGATTTACTCTTTTTGTTTTTGTATGTGAAGGATCACATGTCAGAAGAAGGTCAGTCCACATGTGAGAGTCATCATCACACATTCATGAACGCCTGCCCCCTCTGGCCCCCTCCATCCACCAAATCTTCTGACTCCCCCGACCCCCCAGAAGCCCCCCTCGTCTCCACCCGAATATCAAACACATCTCATTCTCATCGCTCTTTTCACTCCTCTTCCTTCATTTTCTTTGACTGCTCTGAACCCCGCTGCCCCCACCAACCTCCCCTCCCGTTTCTGCCGATCCAGCTCTGTCTAATGGAACCAGTGGTGCGTAATGTGAGCAGCCTACATACCACCAGCCTCCCCTAACCCCACTCTACCCCACCCCAGCATCACACACAACCAGGCGGGGTCTTTACACCGTTTAACCTTTGGTAATCTCCCACAAACATACACGTACTGTTTTCCTGGTGGACACACACACATTAACCATGAAATGTACCTTAGTTCTCTGTCTCATCATTGTAGCCAGTGTCTGTGATGATTAAGATGACAACTTTGACTAGTTCTTTTTCATTCTTTTTTAGATCAAGGTGTTTATTAGGCACACATGAGCATATGTCACACAGGAAATACAAGCTTCCCCTGATCAGTTCACTCTTCCCTGTATTGTTTTTTCGACGTATTTCCTTGTGCTTTGTATCAAAAGCTTGTTGTTATTGTCTGTATATAATAACTGCATATCTACATTGATTAACTAATATTTTACATGCAAGTATTTGAATGTTAGGTTGAAGCTAAGGCCAATGAGATAAAATGGATTAAAAACATTATATTATAAAGATGGTTTATTGATTGTATACATTCCAACTATAGATCTGAAAGTTATGTTTGTCTTCAATGCTACACATATAACTGAAAAACGTGTAACTTATAGAAGTTCATTGTGTTTTGTTGTCCTTAGCTCTACCACTAACCCCTGTTGTCATAGACCTAAAGTCTCATAGACCTCTCTCTATATCAAAAATAAGAATAATTTCCCAATCAACACATTGTTTGCCCATTTGACGAATTTGCAAGCTCATAAGACAGGTTTAATTCCCTGTTATAATCAAACTTTAATAAAACTCAGAAATCCAAATTGATTTTTGGGGATATTTGAGAGATTATTGCTGTATGTTACCAGTATGATAAATACACATCATAGATATATAGATCTGATTAATCAATTGCTTTTAACTAGGTTTCACAAGTTAAGTCTCATATTCCCCAGACAGAACTTGTGCAACATCTGAAACACTTTATCAATTCCAAAGTGTTTTAAAAGGCCTATAGAAATGGTGTTTGGTATGTTTTCTGAGCTTTTAAAAGAGTATTTTTAGCAGAATGTAAACGGTATTCTGCGCAGCTTTCACTCAAAAAGGTATTAAGCAAAATAGCAGTTTAGACAGGGAAACACTGAGTTTAATGACTATTTTGTCATATGGCCTTGCCAAAGTTGAATAAACGATACTCCTGCATTTGTGTTATTACTCATAGAGCCTTTGAATTTCTCAAACTCCCAGAATTAAGTATATATGGATTTATGGTAGTAAGCCAAATCCATGGAGAATCAGCTGGCTTGAGTCCCAGAATCAAGGAGACTGTTTAATTATATTTTCTGGTTTTGTCGTCAGTTCGATGGAACCTGAATGATGAGCAAAGGCATTGGAGGCTTAACATTATGGAAAACTTGACCACATGTCTGGTTTTTATCATAGTGGTTGTCAACATCTTCATCACAGCATTTGGAGTCCACCGGCCGAAGCAAAGCAACTAAAAAAGACACAAAGATTCACACACAAGTATTCTCTACATTTTAGCCGCTCACATACATTCTTTATGCTCAACCTCTTTCTCACTCAAACAGGTATTTTCTCTCCTGCTTTTCTGTGCAGTTGTCTGCTATAGACATTTATGTAGTCAGCATGTTTTTTTAGGCCTCTCCTCCCCTGACCTGGACTGCACAATCCCCTACCTGACCTACAAACACACTGACCTCTCCAGGCTCTCTGAGAAATTTCCAACAGAAAACGACTCACAAAAAAATCCAACTACTGTTCATTTACCAGAAAAACATTGTCCTGCACTGAAAACAGCGAAAAAGAGAGAAACATCAGTAGTGACAAAGGGGTCTGGGGCTAAACAACACAACATGTGTTACAAGTGGACAAACAGGAAAGTGGAGACAACTGTGATCAGAGACCTGTGTGACCTCACACTGTCTGTCTCTTTGCTGAACGATAGTGACCCTGAGCGCTGGCCAGACACAAATGCACACACAGAAAAACACACGCATACACACATGCTGACAGCAGAACATGCTTCCATTTTTAATCGCCAGTGATGACGTGGGAGGAAGATGTCATGGTTATTTTCCAGACAGCATGAACCAAGAGGTTTGATGGGTCTGCTGAGCAAATGTATTCGGTGAAGGGTGTGCCTCAGCTGACTCAAAACACGTACCATGCACCTCGACAGCTTTAACCTTACCAATACATCTGCCCCCGACCACAGGCGTCATGCCTAACATTCAATTATAACAATGTTTGGTTGTGCCATGACTCTCTGTGCTCTGAGCAAAGATGGAGTGCGTCTGTGGTTCTCTGGACCAGCAGCAGCTGGTGAGTCAGAGTCAACACAGCACAGACCCCAGCAGAACTGCTTGTTAAAGTGGAAGCCTTAATTAGACTGTGTTTCAGAAATGTCACTGAAACCCCAATTAGAGTCGGAGCAAATGCTCATTTTATACACTTGAGTGGTTTAACACAAGAACATAAAAGCAGCTTGGGCCCGTTTCACGTAATCAATTGCTCAACACCTGAGGAATATTCATGTTCCAATCTATAATTTCTTCAACGTTACAGTGACAAAGCTCCTTTTCAGACAAACCAACGTCATAATCTCATTATTTTCCTCCTCCACAACTATCATTGGTAACCGTGGAAACAGCCAGACGAGACAAGAGCCAGATTGATGACACACACAGCTCCACTCAGGGCACATTTGTGGACTGATATATATATACATTATGTATGTCTATGGCTCCTATACTCTGCTTGCTCCATCTCAGTCCTGGAGTTGAACATGACCGGCCCTGTGGGGGACCGACATCAGAGGATGCTGGTGACCATGGAGGTCGTGCACTGCAGGACTAATAATAGCTCCCTCCTCTCGTGGGAATGTGGATACCAGTAATCGAACTGAACAATCACCCTGGTGACACTTCCAACCCCCTTCAACACCTCCCCCCCCTTTCCACAACTCCCATCTCTCATCTGTTGCTCTCCCTTTTCAGACAAGAGAGGGGCGGTAAAGTGCTGCTCAGTGTTGCAAATCTCCCGATATCAGGCACCTGAACTCTCCTCCACAGCTGTACTGTATCATCTCCAATGTGGCCTTTTCTCTACTGATTCATAATCCTAGGAGAAACTTGAAAAAGGGCTTAAAGAGAGTACAAAATAAATCCGCCCTGCACACAGGTCCTTTATTAACAATTGACAGTGTTTAATGTAGCATTTAATTAAAGTTGACTCTAGTCATTCAATCAATTTAATTGTCATTATTAATTAATGAAGGCTGTCTGTTGCTCCAGTTTGTCATTGTTATAGCACACCAGAACATTTTCCATCATCCTCATGTTTCCTTCTTATGGTGCACTGAATGAGCGAGCGGCGCCATCTAGTGTCTCTACGGATCCTGTTCATACAGTGAACATCAGATTCATATTTTTTTTGCTTTCAAAATGTCTTGTTGTTGTAATGCTCTGGGAAGACTGTGATTGCCTTACGTTTATTCACTCATTATCCACATGTAATTTTCAGTTGTCATTGGGGGATGCAAGTAAATAGTAATAAAGAAACAGATGTAATAGTTGTTCTAAAAACAATTGTTTTATATCATGTTCACATTGCCAGACATAACCTAGAGAGAACACGGCACTGCTCATTACTGTGACTTTAATTGAATGCTAATTAATTGTATACATTTCTGTGTCTTTTGTTGTCACTCTTTTGACATACTACATAAAAACAAAAGATACCACTCCAGTTGAGGTCAGCATTTGCTTTAATTGAGCAAATTATGAAAATGATTACAGTGCACTTTAGTCATTAGTTTTCCAACAGCATCATCACAGTATTAATAAAGGCACTGAAGTGTGTGCGTGGTTGGACATATCTATTTTGTGTTTGAGAAACTGTGGTAAACCAGAGCTCTGTCAAATTAAACAATCAACACAGGCGTTTTCATTTAGGTTGCCTAATTAGTCCTCTTCTCAGGACTGTGTGTGTGTCAACAAGCTGTGTTTGATTGACATACCGTATTTCCTGTTGGTTTAGGTGTACCTGTTCGAGAGGGACAGCTTAACCCTCTGTCATTCGTGTTGACGCATATTTTTTAGACATTATGTGATTCCCTGCATAGCTCCACCCAACTTCTACCTGAGCAGTGTAATCTGTCTGTGTCTGAGAGTATTTGAAAACAGCTGTGTGGGTGCGCAATTTCTCAGTTATTATTCCGCTTCATTTTAGCTGAAAATGTGATTGGAATTATTATTGTTTTTTACGCACAATAAATGGAGATACGATTATTTCCAAAAATCCATGTAAAGCAACGTCAGCTGTGGGAATTTCAAGACAGAATGACACACATAATGTCGGCTCAAGTCAATTAGTGCTTACAAATGCGTGTCATGTTTTGCTCTCAAATTGTGTATGAGTTTGGCACAGCAAAGTGGCAAATTTCACAGCTTGTTCTTCTCACAGCGCCTCAAGCAATTCAGCATCTAACGGTCTTCTCTTTTTCGCCTGCCAACCTCAGAATAGGATATAAAAACATCTTTAGCGCCTTTACTAAATCTTGCTGCTGAGCAGTGAAGAAAAGGGCCGGTGCTTCTCAGTGTGTCACCCTCTGTAGGCAGAAAGAGGGGAAACATAGAGTATTAAGAAATACATAGAGAGAGTGGTTTAGAAGGAAACAACACAAAGAGAGGAGAACATTGATATTCAAAGGTAATTTAAAATGTCCAGGGGCGTCTGAACCCTCTGTATGACTCACCTCCGTAATAGTAGAGCATTGCAATTCCAACTGCAAAACTGAAACAGCTCAGGAAGAACATTGGTCCTGCAAAAGGAAAGAAAAGGGATGAATTTCCCATCTGTGACATGACACCAACAACACTAGAATATCTGATCAGCTGGTGGGCATTCAAAATGTGTGTAGTTTGTTGGTGTCTTCCAAATGATTGGTATGAAGTAAAACAAATAATAAAGACAAACTACATGGCAATAATCCAAAGCTGCTCTGTGCACAGTTTTCTTGTTCACAGTCATCATCAATCATTTCTTTGTATGAATTCCGATTGGGGGTCATTCCTGATGACCTGTTTTCTCAGCTGACACACCTTTGACCCAGTGGAAGCACCCTGACTGTTCAAAGGAATGCCGCACAGAGGAAGCTGTTTTTGACCCACAAAGCCAGCGCCGTGAATGTAATGGGATGATGAATGGGGCAGCAGCGTGGAGCAGCAGGGCCCACATTGTGATGCCAGGGGTTAAAAGGTTCAGCAGACAACTATGTTTGTAGAAGAACAAAGCTAAGTTGGGCTTTAGGGGTTTATCTGACAATCAGTGAGGGGCACAGAGGCACGGACAGTAAGACCACAATTTAAAACAAAACACACATCCTACTCATACAGCAAAATAAAACTACTACAACTGCAGATTAAAAGTTGTATTTCAGCCCATTAACCACAAATTATCTTTTTTTTACTTGTCATACAAACAAAAAAATCTGCTGCAAAGTTTTAAGAAAGGTTCGAGAATGATTTAATACTTTCTAGGCAGCAGGCGATGTCTGTTTATGCCAGTATACAGTCAATTTATTTTGCACAATATTATCCTTATATTCAGTTATGGTCTCTATCTATTTTTGCAATGGTTTCCTGTTGCATCCTGTGCTTAACGCTGCCCAAGACCTTTGTGATTAATAGCAGATGACTGTATTTACAATTGAACCTCAAATATATATAAATAACAGAAAGTGTATTTATTGATCTACAGTACTCAGAAGTTGTGTGAGCTGTTGAATCAAATCAAGTTTTATTTATATAGCACATTTATAAACGATTTTTGGTCGAGCCAAGTGCTGTACATATAATAAAAATAGCCTACAGTAGAGACACTTTACAGCTAATACAACAGCACAGATTGTTCAGAATATCAGTATGAGAAAAAACGACACCCTCTATCCTTAGACCCTCACATCATAAAAGGAAAAACTTCCGGAGAAAACCCACAGTTTATAGAATAGATTTACCTCTGTCATTCAGCACATATCGCTCTTGGTGGATCGCCATGGTGTTAGACCATTTAGCATCAGACGTTTCTAGAACGTAAAAAGAGTGAAAAATAAGGTCAACCCAACACTTTTAATATGAGACTATGTTTAGTCACATCCACTACTTGCACTGTAGTCCAGGCAACACACTGGCTTCCTTCTTTTTTCTTGGATAGGATAAGCTACATTAGGCCAGACAGGCAATTACACAGCAGGGGATCCACCGATATGGGCCACCAAGGGAAGTTGCA